GTTCTCTCCTGTACAGGTGTGATACCACACACACTACACAAAAGCCTGGGAACATTACAATTGAGTAGAAATACATACATCACACTACAGAAGGCCACTATATTGAATACATGCCACATTGTTAGGAAATTCCTGAATACAGACACTGACACACACATTTAATTTTAGTTTTGTTTTGGTTGCTATGCCTTGACTCTGGTCCGGCATAGTACACAGCCACAGGTGTGTACTGAGTATAACCCACTAAACCCAACACATAATAATAATAATAATAAGAGTTATTTTTTAATAAAATCTCATAAATGGTACCACAGACAATTTTAACTTTGTGCTAGTGTGTCTGAGTGTTTCTTAAACAAATATTTTTCACCAGAAAAGTTATTCATCTCATTGCTGGATTTTTTTTATAACTGATGGTAAATAAATTAATTTGTTGAAAAAGTTTAATATATTTTCAGAATCATTTTTTCAGAATCATTTTTTCAAAACTTTGATTAAAAAATATATTGACATATTTCAAGAATTTTATAAGTTTAGTAAACCTCACTACAGCTCAGGACACGTGTTAAATTAATGTCCATTCTAATGTACAGTACATTATAATGCAAATTTCAGCTTTACTGCATTTTAAACAGAAGTGACCACATGACGTTTTTACATATGTTGCAATGCGCATACTGCTGAGTGCCAATATGGTCAAGCTAAGTGCATATCAAGACTTTTCAGTGTCTGCTGTAGATTACCTAGAGCAAGAGAGATGTTCGTGTGACTGTTGCTTTAACATCTACAATTTGTATTTGTATTGGTTTGAATTATGATGGATTCTGAATTGCATTTCTCATATTAGTACTTTCATTCTTTATTGATGAAACTTGTAACCACAGACACAGAACCAATTTCCAGGGTATATAATACAAAAACGAACACTGCACAAACACCAACTCCTCCTGAGTTGTTCTTCAGGTGTGACAGAACAATTATCTAATGGAACATTATTCGAACAAACATCTGTTTGTAAAATATTTTTTAAAACAATAATTCGAACAACCTTTTGAAACTAAAAATATAAATTCAATGCTATGTGGGTGTTGTCATGCACATAACAATCGCTTAATTAATTAATGACCATAATGTTATGTAGAACAGGGCTTACCAGGCCATCAACAACACCATTTCTTTCTTAAAATTTATACACAATGACTCAAAATTAGCTTTAAAAATTTCTATGGCCTTCAACCATCTGAGATGCTCTGTGTTTGATGTTATAAGGAGGAGTGTGGCCCATGTGAAGCCCACAACTATTTCTGGATCTGCCATATTTGTAGAGAGGACTGTGGATGTTCTGGCATGTTGCACATCTGAGAGATGTTTTTATATTCTCCTTCTCATAGAACATCTAATGGATCCAATGTACTATACAGAGGTCTCTATCATATCTGGTGTCTCTGATGGAGATACTGTAGGGAAATCCTCTAGGGTTGGGAGTGTCCTTTCCATTTTGAAGGATGGTAAAAATGGATGAAAACAAGTATAATTTTGCACACGACAATGCCTTTGTAGTATTGAATTTATAGTTTAAAAGGTTGTTCGAATTACATTATTCAAAAAAAATTTTTTTACAAATGGACATTTATTCGGACAACATTCCATTGAGTAACCATTCTGTTGCACCTGAAAAATAACTCAGAAGGAGTTGGAAAATGTTTATGTAGTCTTTGCTCTTTGTATTATATGCACCGGAAATTGGTTCTGTATCTGTTGTTACCTATATCTCAGTGTGGAGTGGTGTATATGATACTTTTAACAATTCATCAAGAAAATAATTAAAGAATTTGTTATTGTATGTTTTAAGACATGCATGTAATGTATAAAAATGGCAATTTAAATAGTGTTTGCTATTTATTGAATGCACCCATCACTTTTTTAAATGTGTCACTTAATTTTTTAAATCACTTAATTGGTGATGCAATACATCACCAATTAAGAAAATATAGTAATTTTACTAACATTCATCTTGAACAAGACTATTTCACATTGTCTAAAGATTTATGATGTGTGTGCGTGGCCACTACAGCAAAATATATTGTAAATGATGTCCATTACAACCGACATTAATTTAATGTCTGAGTTTATGAATGTCAAAGTTTTCTCTGATGTTTTCTCTAACAACATAGAAAAACAAGATTGATATACAGTACATTAATTTATTATGATGGTTATTTAATAAATTCAGCAATATAACCTACTAAAGCTCAGTAAAACTTCTTACTGAGCTTTAGTAGGTTATATTGTTGAATTTATTATTAGAAGAAATGAACTCAAAAAATTTCATGACAATACAATGTATTAGTAAGTACTAGAGAGTGTGATATTAAAGTTTTCTGGATTGTGAAAACACTCAATTATAATTTTTCTATTGTCAAGAAATTTTGAGTTAGTGGGGTTTTACTGTATATTGCCTCATCATTCGTCAAAAAGTTGCATATATAACAATTAAAATGACCAAAATTTTTCTTTCTTTCCAGAAAGTTTGTTTTTTAATGAATGAAAGCTTCTGCATCGTGAATTTATTATTAATATATTACTAATTTTTTTTAGCAAGGTCAGTCAGTTATCATTCATCAACTCATATTTGATATTGAACTGTACATACATGAAATGGGACAAAAGATATGCACTGCAGCTGGAGTAAAGTATTTAGCATTTAGTGACTATGATGTTCAAATCATAGATGTAAGTTTTGTAAATAAAGTTAACAAATTATGTTAGAGCCATGCTTTTGCTAAATATAGCTCTAATAGTATATTTTGGTTATTATTATTTAGCTTTGTCCAGTTTCATCAATAGCTGTGATACTGGTTTTGATGCTTGTTCAAGCTAAAGTTGAAAAAAAAGATGGAGAAGATGCACTGTAAGTTTTCAAAATAGTTGTAATTAGAATATTTCATTATAATAATAGTTTCATTTCAGATTGAATAAATAGATGTTTTTTTTATTTTTATGAATTGTGATATAGTGGCTAATAAAACACATAAATGTTTCTAAAGTTTTATTGCAGTTCAAATAACAATTATTATGTTTGACATAACTATTCAACATCCCAATCAATCGTATTGTAAACTTAAAAGTATATGGAATTGGCCAAGAATTACTGTATTAATATGTATGGTACATTTGTACATTACTGATTTTAATGTAGCACTATCAAACAAGAATATTTTTTGCACGTTGTACTATACTATACTAGAATTTACAAATTAACCACTCGACAGTGAGGGACGGATATATCCATCCAGGGCGATTTGTGTGGCAGTGGTGAGGGACGGATACATCTGTTAAATTCTTTTGGGGTATTGCCAAAAACTAGCCAAAAACTGCCACGAAGAAAAAATTCACATAAAGAAGGAATTAGGTAACAATAGAAAAACTTTTCTTTACTAGACATAACTGTTTACAAAATCTTTTCCCAAAACAGTAATGAGAAAAAAATGCGTGGAAAAATACTTTAAAAATTATCCATGTTCATTCTCCACTACTTTGAGATAGCACCAAACCTGACCAGTGGTGATATTCAAAATATTTAACAAAGGGTTTGCTAACAGAATATTTTTCCTTAACAATTTTTTTTCGCTCAAATTAGCAACATTAGCACAAAAACTGACCTTAAGATACCCATATAAACAAAAAATATATATATTACACACGATGATAAAACTGACATAACTATGTGGTAAGTCACGAACACCAACAAACAAAATGGAAGTTTTGGTTAGAAATAAATACAATACTTTTTCTTAAATATATCTAATAATAGGCAGATGTCATTGTCTCTCGAAATACAATATCTTTTTTATTTCGCTGTCGGTAGCCATCTTGTATTTTCTCGCACATGCGGGATTGTGGGATCTCTCTTGTGACTGGATCTAGTTTCAAGAACTTTCTTGAGTCGATCGCGATTGAACGTCATTTCAGTTGAGATTGAAACGGTCGAGAGAGGTCGCACCAATGCAAATGGGGTATAATGCTCTAGTTTAGTAGTGTTACAGAGTATAATACATATATTTTAATATATTTTTTAAAAGAAACAAAACCACTGAGAAATGTTACATGTATTTAACAAGGTTCGAAAAACTTTGAAAATGTTAACAATGGGTTCGGCCGAACCTGTGCGAACCTGCTGAATATCACCACTGTACCTGACTGTTGAAAGGTTAATGGACATTAATTCTTTGTTTCAAATATGTTGAGATATTGGAAGGGATCCATTGGATTATTATTTCATGTAATCAGTTGCTAATGTAGAAACTTTATCAACTGAATATAAATATATATAAATTATAATTTTAGCATCAGTATTTCAATGACAAACATCCACAATAATGACTAAAAAGTTAAGTATTTTGTAGGTATTGTTGTATCTGCTTAGAACAGTGGTTCTGTAATGTATAAAAATGGCAATTTAAATAGTGTTCAAGAAAGAGCTCAAACTCGCGTACTCCTTATAGCAGAAATTCATATTAATCCATACTAATATAAATTCGAAGGTAATTCTGTCTGTCTGTCACCTTTTCACGTCTAAACCGCTGAACAGGTTTTAATAAAATTTGGCACAGAGATAGCTTACATGTTGGAGATGGACATAGGCTACATTTTACTGTGAGAAAATATATTACTCCCACGAGAAAATTTGATATAATGATATTAATGAATTTAATTTGATATAAATAAAATAAAATAAAATACACAAAAAAAATGTACCTCCTAATGCATGGTCAAAGCTACAGTTTGTTTATCTTATGTGCAAATTTGGCTCTGGCAAAACAACAACCAAAAAATATGATTGCATCTTCAACTTTTTGATGTGTAATTTGATATGAACCTAAAAACTTTATTATGACACCATCAGTTAGAAAGGTCATGTTGATTGTGTTTTGGGACAGTAAGGGTTCTATTGAGACCAGTTGGAGAATAGTCTGAAACCCACTGTTAGATATAAATGCTTCAAATTGCTGTCTGAAAGAATCAGCTGCAAATATGATAATAAATTTCCTTATTCCTCATATCAAATGGTATCCATGATCACAAAATTTAAGATGAAAGTACTAAAGATTTATCCTACATACAAATGATTACCATATTTTCAGGCCATTAAAAGAAGCACTTGGAGAAGGCCTTTTTGAAATGATGAGCTCATGAAAAAGGCAACACAAAAATAACTCTTTAAGCAACCTAAATTCTTCTATCATGACAGTATCATGTTATTAGTGGCATCTTTGGAGCAGAGGCCCTGGCCATCCAGCAGGCCCTTCACCTTATTCAGCCCCTCTACCGCCTGACAGTCATCATTTTTGACAGTTGGTCAGTCCTTCAAGCAATGGTGGCAGTTACCCATTCGTCACTGCCACTCATCATAGACCTGGCGGTGACTATCACATCATTTTCAACACCCCTCATATCAGGTGGACTCTGGGCATGTGGGCATCCCAGTCAACAAAGTGGCCGACAAGGCCGCAAGCACTGGCACTCATACTGGCACAATATGGTGCCTGCTACAGCCAAATGATCTCTCTCGGAGCATCACAAGATTAATCATCCGAAACCTCATCGACTCATGGATGCCAAGCCTTTGCAGAAAGGGGTGCGACCACCTTCACCAAGTGGCCTTATCAATATGCTTCATCCTGCCAAACTGAAGCTTTGCTGGCCTGCCTCTGCACGGACACGGCCCCACTGAATGCATTCTTGCACTCCCGTTGCCTCCGCAACTTGCCGGTGTGCCCTTACTGTGGCACAGAGGAAACATTGTATCACTACTGGCTTAAATGGGAGCCCACGTTACAATGGGCTTCAACGTACCCTCAGTACGAATCTGTCCCTCAACCTCAACCTGACCCGCTCATTAATTCCGATTTACTGGGCGTCTGCCGATGTACTGCCGAGCCAGCACATGACGGCCTTGGAATTGTTTATTTGCCAAATGGGTCGCTTCATCTAACCACCAAGCGGCAGCTTATTGGAGAATGTAACCCAAGTGACTGACATCTCCATATAAACCCAAGAAAAAGAAAGAAAGTGACATTCTAGATAAAGTCTGTTGAGAGAGAAGATTTTTCTTGAAAAGTAAAACAAATGTTGCCTGACATGCAGTAAATGTAATTTATAACAAAATTATTGTTTTCATTTGAATTATTCTCATATACATAATAATTATGTATTCAATAAATGAAAATATATTTCGTCTTATAGTAAATTTGTCTAATTATTAATGAATGTAATTAAATAAAATTTCTAGTAAAATTTTTCAAATATGGTAATTTGGCAAATATTATTATTAATATTCCTAAATGAAATTTTTATTTTAATATAGTGTTGTGATGAGGATTAATGAAAATATAAATATATAGTGTATTTAGACAAATTTCTCTGTGTATTAATTTTAATCATATTTTTCAGAAATTTGGGAAGACACATGTATCAAACTGGTTTTAAATTTGAATGGAATATTTCAAGTGGTAATTTTAATCAAGCTTGTATTTTCTAAAATTTGTCAAAAATGTTTGGCTGTTTCTTATGTGTTTTGTATTTTATACAGGTATTTATTCTGTGATGGATACAGATGAATTAAAAGAAATAGATCCTCATCCTAAAACACAAAAAAGGTAAGTAAAGATTAATAGAAATTATTAGTCCCTGACCACCATTTAAACAAGGATTACAGGAAATACTTGACAAGAAGTAATTCAAACTTTTTAAAATTTGAGAAAGTATTTATTAAATACCACTGAAATTCAAAAATTAGAAAACATATTTTAAAAATTTTGGATAAATTGAACTATTACAAGAAAATTTTTTAGAGAAAAACATGCAGTATGAAAAAAGGATACTTATTTGAAGTTTAGCTTATACAGCAACATCTATGTAAATTGCATCACTTGTTATATATTTATAAAAGCATTCAGTAAATGTACAAAGTAGCATATTTAAGCTGTGATTACAATTTGTACTAGCATATGTAGTTTAGAGAAGAAACCAAGATAATGCCAAAAAAAAAATTGAAATTTATAATGCACTACATTGCTTACGTAATGCTATATTGTAATATATTGTTAATTGTTATTTCACAACACAAACTTATTTATACTGTTAATGGGCATTGTTACAAGAATCTGCTATTCAGTTATGAAAACAAAAAAACTTAATAGTTATTTTTCACTGAATTGAATTTTAATACTTTTTAGATCATCTCAAGCCTTATTAACAGCTTTGTAGTGCTTTAGCATGGGAGTGGATGAGTTTCTTCAAGTATTCTGTACCACACTTGTGATAGTATAATAAATCATTGCAGTTACTGCTAATTCTTAAATCTCTTTTTAAATTTTGTAACTATTTCCTTTATTGGAGGTTTCATGTAAACAACAGTTTGTATCAGTTTAAATGACAACAATGTTAACAAACTAATGAGAGGGGACCTATCCAGGGCAAAAGCTTTTCTGCTTTTAAAGAATGTTATATATGATACTTTTATCTTTTATAATTTAAGGTCTTTGATAAGCAATTTATAAAATTGAAGTTTTAACTTTATAAACTAGATCAAGAGTTCCTAAACTTTTTTCGGCCACGGACCCCTTTACCGAAAACTTTTAAAATCATTGACCACCTAGTCGTTTACTTTACTTACTCAAAATTAATAAATTTGTACAGTACTCAATATTAAATATTTCACTAGATATCAAACTTTTCATTTTAATTACTTGTAATTAATGATTGAAAAAGATAATGCCATATTCTGTAGTCCTTTTATCTTGTGCAACATTTAGTATCAAAACCTACACTAACAAAAATTAAAACAAAAAAATACAAGCAGAGTTTTTTAATTTTTGACATTTATGAAATAAATATGCAAATTCAAAATAAGTACAAATATTAAAATCATTTTATTAAACATAAAAATGAAGAGAAAAAATGAACATATTTAGAAAGAATAAAACAACAAAATTACAACAACAAAAGATTTTAATCCGATTTATAAAAATAAGAATACCAAATAAATTAACTTGGGAAACTGGATTTAATGAGAGGGTGCACCTGGTGATCTGTCAACAGTTTATCTATATATGGTTTTAAATTAGTGAGTTGCATTCTCAAATCTCCACATTCAGTGATATGCAATCAATGTCTGTTCTGAAGCAGGTTTAAAACTACACTGAAGCCTCTCTCTACCAGTTACAACAATGGAAATGCCAGCAAATATTTTTGTACAACAGTCCATAGAGCTGGGTACAGAAGTGGAATATCTTGTTGCAGCCGAAACATTTGATAACCCTGTTTGAGTTATCTTGAGATCCTCGTTTATGCTGCAGAAATGCAGACAAGTAGTACTGTCTACATTTCTTTTTTGGTTCAGTCATATTATTATCTGAAGCATGGGTGTCCAACCTTTTTGTTCCTCTGGGCCACATTGGAAAAAGTCATGGTGTTTTGGGCCACAAGTATATATAATATATTTGCGACCTAATCCTTAAATATACAAGTATATTTAAGGATTAACATGTCTAGATTATAGTAATAAGTATTATAGCTTTATTATGAAAACGAATATTTTAAAAACTTAATTCTACAGACACTTTAAATTTTTACTTAGAAATAGATAAATTCATTTATTATAGAGGAGACAGACAAAAATTTATTTGAAAAACACAAATATTTGTTTTATTTGGGTCTCTAATTAATAAAAAAATGACGAAACACAATTTTAAAGTGTATTTTTATTCGACTATATATTTATAAATAATATGTAGCCCAAAAAGTAGCCAATGCGCCAAATGATAATTTTTACGCCAAACTAAAAAGTGGTAGCGAAATTTGGCGCAAAGTAGAGAAATCTTACAACGCTGGAAGGAATACTAAATAATGCTGGAATTGGAACTCAAAGGATTATAGACCGAAATTTGAGAAAAGGAGAGACAGGTCAAAAGATAAAAAGTAGTGAGGAAAGGTTGGAAAATTAAAGGCCAATATTTGCATAACAGAAGGTCTATTTAACCTTTCTCACTATTTATCTTTTGACCTTTCTCTCCTTTTCTTAAATTTGGGTCTGTAATCCTTTCAGTCACAACTCCAGCTTTTTATAGTATTCCTTCGTCATTCACACACCTTCGTCATTCACACATCTCCAAGTATTTGAAAATATTTTCTTTTCACTCAAAAATAAAATATGTATAAAAGTTTATGGCTTTGTGAAACTTCTTTTTTGAGTTTATGCCATTGAAATAAAAAAGTAAATAAAATAAAACAATTTGTCGGTTTTGTTTACACGTTTATTGGGCCGCATTCGAACTTGCCTTGGGCCGCATGCGGCCCGCGGGCCGCGAGTTGGACACCCCTGATCTGAAGAAATAAAAACTTTTGTTAACAAACAATTTCAACAGCCCCTGTGATAAAAAAAAAAAAACAGTATGTAATTACTTGAAACAGAAGATTTTTGTTCAAACTCAAATAAACTGTGTCCTCTGATTTTATTTTTTGTAGTACAGCAGTACTTCTCAATAAATAATTATATTCAAAGTTCAAATCACAAATAAGTACATGTCATATCAAATGAACCAATTTATAGCGTTTTATGAAAGCATGACCATACAAAACTGATAGATTCTAATATCAAATATCGTCACATCTCACCGTGAGCAAATGTGGACATGCAATGGTTTTTCATGTCCGTGCTTGCTTTGATACATTTGATAAGTAATGCACAGATATTTAATTAATATGCCTTTTTCGTCCTTTTTTTTATAACTGTATTTAAAATTTATTTTGTATTACAAGTACAATCTATATATTAACAGGACTTATTATACTGGAATTATGGATGCAGATATTTAGTTTTACAGTTCAAAAATAATGTTCTTTATTTAGTTCACCTGAACACATACACTTTAAACATGTGTTTCGGACTTGCTCGTCCCTCTTCAGCAGGCCTTCCAACGACACTTTCTATAATTAACAACAATCAACAATAAAAACATCTTCGGTACAATTATCACTAAAACTAGTTAAGAACACAGACATTTCCCGACAATAAATATTTAAAAATTCTTACAATTTCTGTATTGCCTATCTTCACTATCCTTCCACCTACACTTACTATCCACAGCAACCATACGATTTGACACATTCCTAATTTTTT